GTATCTACACATCAATTTACAGCCCTCTTCAGCAATGTCTATGGATTTTTTATTGTATAATTTCATATCATTTCCATATCAAATAATTGTTTTAACCATCTTTGACTGTCTTGTTTACTTCGTAGCTCTCAAGTACGATTTCTAGAGCTGATTTATATCATGCACATTCATGACCTTGGCCACATTGCGTCGTAAACTCTTGTATTTTGCCGGCACTTTTCTAAATTACCCACATTTTTTATTTCATATTATTTTAGTATAAGGACCAAACTTTGTGCCAGCATGCATTTTGACATGATTTCTCACTACCAAGACGCGTTTTGAAGGCTTGAAGTTGCTCGAATTTTCGCTTTTTGCAACAAGTGTTTGAGAGTACTTTGTTAGAAAATCTTGTAATTTTCAAAATTAAACCAAAGCTCCTAAAAGTGCCATAAATAAAAATGGAATGAATTATATTTTCAAGTAAAAACATCTCCGATTTCATACGAAACATCCTCCTTCAGTACTAGCACACTAAAGTTGCTCAATTTTACTGTATTTTTTGCATAATTAATTAGGTAAAAACCCGAATTTTCGTTTTTCCCCATTTAGTCGGAAACATTTGATTTTTCAGATTTTGAATTATTTTTTTTCAAATATATCTCCCTAAAAGGGTTTTCCAGGAAAATTATCAGAATTTTCAATTTTTCAGCTTGGCCAGCGATTCTCGATATTTACAGTCATGGGCTCTTAATTAAACAAAGAAAAAAAATTGAGATGCTATTTCTCTGCTTTTTAGAGAACCTTTCATTACAATTCCCATTTCTGGCGCAACAGAAATACATATAACCTTGCTGGAGGCATGACTGGCTTCGATTTACAGCAGACCAAGTTGCCGACCTACTGGAACACACCCTTCTCCAAGATCTGCCTCGGTATGAAGATTGGTCATCAGCTCAGATTCATTGTCATCAACAGGCACGCCAACTCACTGTACTCACTGATCGCTGACGGGAAATACCGCGCCACCTCACTGGGTCGTAACACATGGAAGTGGCTGATTGGCTCACAGGCCTCCTTGCAGCCCTACTGCAACAGGGAAGGATTTAATTCCGTCGGTGGATCTGATTCCCTTGCATCCAAAGCAAGGATCGGAATTAATGCCAATCAACAGCACCACTGTGATTCTTGTGACTCCAGAATTGGGTTTGGCACTGGAGGGTGGTACGATGACTCAAACACCTGTGGCAACGAAGCGTCGCGCTCGGCGGATAATGGAAACAAGCACATCAAAGCTATGGGGTACATCCTGGTACAGTGAAAAGGGACATAGTTTACTTCCCAAACTTTAAGCCGAGAAGCCATCATGAATTAGAGAAATGTAGTATGGTAGAGCTAACAGGCTAATAAAAGAATGAGTCATAATCTTGTTTTACTCTCTAGTTAAGTTTGTCTCTAGTATAACCTTTTGACATCCAGTTTGCGATGTTTCATTTGTGCGAAGCCGATTTAATGTTCACGACACGTCCCCGTCACAAAATGTTCGCGAATCAAGGAAAGGTAACGCAGAGAAGGAGGAGTACGGAATACGGAAAAGGTGACCTTTTTTTTTTTTTCCTTGCTCGCGTCGCCCTTTGCGCTCTCCTCGCAGGATAACCAGTATCTTAAGGGAAATGAATCGGCTCAGATACGAGAACTTGCGAAACGCAAAAAGTAATACCTCCCAAAGTATTGCCTACTTTTCTCACTCTCAACAGAACACAGAATTTTCTGCACCATTAGCTCAATACGTCAGTCTCCACGCGAAATACGAATGAAGCTTATAACAATATCATCATTAGCTTGTCATCTGAACGGATGTCCATCCGGAATACCTCCCACAGTCACGACCTCCCTCACCACAACTTGAGATGTACCTCTTTTAATGTAAATATTAGCAAAACTTGAGCAATACGATCTCATTATCGAATTTTCAAAGAAGAATTCTGTCGTTATCTCATGCAAAATAAAGAAGAGTTTTGAAACTAGTCAATACTTATCGCCTGGGAGGGGGAAGGGGGTGAGTGAAATTTGAAAAATCGCATGGTTTTCAGGAGGTAGCCGTGTAAGTCGGTCCTAATTGGTCAGTTTAAATCCATTCGTAGGGTCAGGTGGTTCTGTTAGTTCGTTTGTTGTTTATACGTTGTGAGGAAGTCGTTTATATTAAGCTAGTAGTTGAGTTTTTAACATCTGGGGAGGTAGTGTGAACAGTCTGTTCTAAGTTTGTGAACCAGTAACTGGTGCAGTAAATGAAACTTTTCCATAGTCCATTGGTGTCCGCATCCTCCAGAGGCCGAAAAATTCGGCCATTTTGTGATCTTGTGTTTGAAAAGGATGGCAAGGGAAATCTACCTAATTCTATTTACACATGTACAGCCATTGAATGCCTATTTGAATGTTTTATTTGCTGCGTTCTTCATTTCATCGGGAACTGTGGCAATCAAATGAGCAAACTCATCTGGAAAATTATGAATTCATATATCGTTCTTCTATTTTTGTAACCTTCCAGGCGCCTAAATAGGTTTTGATTTACGAGCGTCTGGGTTACCGATCTATTGGAGCAAGACATGTCTCTGTATGCGAATGGCCTTCAGAACAAGTTCATTTTTATCGAAAAGCACATGTTGACTCTTTCTATTCCATAGCGAGGCGAGCGTGACTCATAAGAATCTCCAGCGCGAAAAGCTGACCTTTTTTTTCCTCTTTTTTTGTAGCCCGCCATTTACATCGCCCGCGTTCAAGTGATATACTCGAAATATTTCCCCTGTTTTACCGGTTATTTAGGAGTTTACGATTAGCGTGGAAAATGGTTTTTCCGGTGCGAGAACTATAAGAACACAAAAAGGGGATACCTCCGAATTATTACCTATTGTTCTCGCCATCACCGAAACGACCGGAGTTTCTGTACCACTTCTTCGAGGAAATCACAAGATATTATGAATTTTCATCAAAACGAATCTACTACGAGCATTTTCCTGAAGTCAACTTCCCTCACCACAACGTTAGAGGTAGTAGTTTTAGAGACAACAGAAGAGAATGCATTTTCTTACTGTGGCTTGCCGTGCAACATGCTGCATTGACACATCAGCCTTAATCACGCTGTATAAGATCTTAATGAGCAGAACAAAATTTATGTCCTAAGGTTTTTTAAAGTCAGTCGAGACCCATGTGAGGCTAAACGTCCTGAGGTGTCCGCCAAGTAAAACCTTTTGGGCCACAAAAGGGCTCAATCCTAGTGAACGCTACAGTCCACTGAGTACAGTTTTGCGTTACAAGGATAATGAGATAAAACACGAGAACTTAAGTTTGTGTCCATTCGATATGGGATCCGCTAAGTATAGATTATACTCTAAGTTAGCAACACGATGTGTCAACCTGTCAAGGTAAATTCAAAAACTGGGTAAGTTGATATGAAGAGTGTGCGAGCAAGGTGCCTGTCCTCGTGGATTCGTAATTTTTTCGAGTCAGTTCGTTTGGCAGGGCCCCTTAAGCTTATTGTGAAATGCGTAATTATAAGCGCGAGAAGACAAAGTTCCTTGCTTTGACATTACAGTAAGCAAAACCACAGTCGATCAGTTTTGCCAGATTGTTTGGTGTGGTATTTTCGTATGAAGAAAATTGGCTCAACTTTGATAACAATAGGCTTTGTTATACAAGCGAAAATGACCCGATATAGCCATTTTTGAACAATGGCGCAACAGCTTCAGAACACACGAGGAATTTGTCGAAGTTTCCGATTAGCATACGAGTGGGAAATTTAAACGCTCGGAAAGGCTAGACTTTAGTTTAGAGCTATGACGACTTTAGTTTAGAACTATGGCGACTCTAGTTTAGAACTAGGACAGTGTCTGGACTGAAAGATTTATACACATGGTCGATTGAAATCCAACAGCAATAGAAAAAAGAAGAAATATTTTGAACTCAATACCTTTGCAAAGATTGTTTTCGAAGAGATATTTAGACGCACATGTACTGCACTGGAGAGAGGTGGTCTGAATGAGACACCATGTATTTTGAATTCTCTATGTGTGTATGCTCGATGTGTGCATTGCCACATTAGCGGTTAATTTTTTCCTAGGGTAGACCATTGAGAGTTGACTGGACGAGACAAATTCACTCTACCCACTCCTCCTCGGGTTCCTGAAAATTAGTGTCTTGTTTGACTATCAAACACTGAGTAGTCTATCTCATTCTGGGTTAGAGCTCTGGTGTATGACAATAAAGTTGACAGATTGTGTACATCCATAAGATACATCTTTTTTTGTAACCGCACATGCCTGTCAGGCTGTTTACAAATCCCTGTTTAGCTTTATAGTTGTTTAATTACGCGTAAAAACTCGGTAAGATCTACCTTTCTTGTCTTGCACTGACTGAAGATTTAACAAAACGAGATATCTGGGTGCTAGGTGGTATGCAGTCAACTTCGAGAGGTGGCCTTAATAGTCGTGATTAAGTAAGAATAGCCGACAGCAAAACTCTCATTTAATTGTTCTTTTTTTTTTTCTAGTGCGTAGTTAAGTGGGAAATTAGCGGAAAAGAGCTACACTTTTTTAACCTAGCGGTGGTGATCTGCCTGTTCTTTTTTAACGTTTCAAGGATTTCTAACTGTATGGTATTCCCGCTTCTGTCTTCATCATTGATTGCAAGTGAAAAGTAAAACTTTTTATTATATAGTTACTGATGAAATACCAGGATTTTTTCTTTTACTAAAAAATCGTATCTTCATCGTGCGCAGTGAAGATACTATTTTTATCTTTCATGTGTGAGGATATTGGTGTCACCATGGTTACTAACATATACGCTTTTGTTGTTATATAGTTTTTCTCTTCTTCATTAGAATTTTGACTTTTCGGAACAGAAAGTATAAGTATTATTGTCTTTATTTCTCCTTTATAACTTTATGTCCGAGTTTCATAACGTCTTTGTGACAGGCATTTGCGATAGGTGACCACTTTAATTGCACTATTCGCTGTTTCGAAAATGAATAAAAAAAATTGTGTTCTGTGTGGAAATTTCATCAGTATCAGTCTAAAATAAGCAGAACATTACATGGCCGCTTGGGGATAAGAATTTTATCTTCGAGTGCTGAAAGTATCTCTCATTCGTTCTCTCCGCTCACTCGTGACAGATACTTTCAGGACTCGAAGATAAAATTCGTATCCCCGCGCGGCTATGTAATATCCTTTATCTTCTTTCTGACTGTCAGTTAAACATCTACACTGATTAGCTTAAAAATTATCATTGTTTCAGTATTGCGCTGGATAGTTCCTGGTCAAAAACAAAATGTACCCGTTCTTACCTAAACGATCTTGGAAAAGTAAATTTAATGGTAATTCTAATGTTTTGAAGAAAGGGGAAAAAAAGGAAAGACACGGGGTTTGATAATCACTTCATGTAAGTTTCAAAACGCAAAAGACGGGTCAGTCAAATTTTGGTGTGAGACCGGACAGCTTATGGAGGTCGCTTCTTGTCAATCTCCAACATCCAGAGCTTTACAAGAGAGTAGATGAGACACAGCTCTGATATATCTTAAGCTTGGTCTTTATGCTATATTGCTATGATCTCCTTACGTTGTTGAGCATGCTGAAAGCATTCCTGGCCTTATTGTTGTCATTCTTTATATAGTTTCCAGCTCCTCCATAAATCATCCTAAGATTACCGTAATTCTCGCCATGCCAGTTTGCTATAAAAAAAGAAAAGTTTGTAAAATATTCATAGTGAGCTGTCGTAAAAGGTGCTAGTTGGTTTAGTTTTCAGAAAGTTTATTTCAAGGTGGAAGAAAATTTTGGGCCAATAAGGAGAAAATAGTTTGGCCATATTTTTACAAATTGAAGTCAAGTGCAGGAGCAGTATCATTTAAATTTTCCCTTTAGTTTCCTACCATGCAAATCTATTTTCAAACTTTAACCGCAGTTATATCGGTATGGTCAATTGTTATTTGTTTGTTGGGAAGCTTAGTAACATGAATAATTTATTGTCATCCAATACACCACTTTCATAAATGGCTACCGGATTGATATTCTTTTGTTTAAATTCAAATTAGCCTCACTAGCCTCGCTTGAGATAATGTATTCTTTTGAATTTTGAACTGGAGAACGAGACCAGAAAGGCTAATTTAAATTCAAACAAAAGAATATAAATCCGGCAGCCATTTATGAAAGTGGTAAATGAATTGAATACCTGCTGACAGAATGACTAAAGGTACAATAAAAACAAATAAATATAATATAACATCCAGGTCTCATTGGTGAAAAGACTGAAGGTTTTTACATAAGGGGAAAACTAAATTAAACGTTTTGGATCAAATTGCACATATTTCGTGAGGTTGGTATCAGAACTTGAGCGATCTGGGACATGAAGAAATCAATTTTTGTCTTTGT